TTTTGTCATTGTCAGTTGGTTGAAATTTTTATATAAACTATTTTTTTTTTTTTGTCTACTTTTCTAATAACTTTGTGGCTATTAACCTTGAGTCTGTTCATTATTTTAAATTTTTTATTACTACTAACAATTTCAATTATAAAGTTTTTGTAAAATTTCCTTCAGATGCTTTTGAGTTATGTTCCAAATGTTACTGAGACAAAACTTAGAAAAAAATATAAAGGGGATACTTTAATTTTGTCCTTTGAATTTTTAACTACTACCATTTTAGATGACACTTTAAGAAATTAATAATTGCCAACTTAAAAAGTGAATAGTTTAAATTTTTTAAATAAAAATCAAAACAATTCAATCAGTGTTTGCTCACGAAAAGGTGCATATATAATGGATTTCTTTTTGATTTATATTACTATGGAAAAACAGTTAGGACCAAAACTGATGCTCCGCTTCCAAACATCAAGTAAGTTAACGTTCTACTGACAATTAAATGACTTTTTTATTTTGATTTAAAAGAAAGGAAAAATTACAAAATGAGATGAACAGCCTCTACGCTATTAAGTTATGCAGTTTAAATGATTTTAACGTTGGGCTAAAGCAACATACGATATCTATGGTTGCCAAGAAGGTTTTAAATATTATGAGCAACGTATATTATGCACGAATGGCTGAAGAAAAGTAAAATCAGGTAGATCTTTATGTTAAACCATTTTCCATTATATCTTAATTAAACTTATACTGTTTCCAAATTATAACTTGCCTCGTTCAGTTTAGGAACTTTTCTCTACGAGCTCAACAAATTTTACATCCTGATTTTTTTTTATGCAGAAAAAAAAAGGTGAATATTACAAATATTTTTTAACCATTTTCTATGCTACCAAGCAAGCTGTTTCATATTCCAATCAACTGGCACCGTTAAAAAAATGATACCACAAAATAGTTGAAGATGGAAAACACTTCAACCTACATTTTTGACGGATTGATTTCATATCCATTATGCTATTATATAATACATATGGACCAAATTCTACAATAAATTCAATGTAATGAGATTTACTGATGCTTGAGTGCAAGAATCAAGAAGGTTATATACTACTAAAAAGTGAAAAAATTGCATTAGCATGTATTGATTATTAATAATTACTTACATGCTATGCTTATTGTTGCTGATTGACTTTTAGCAACACCCCGTGAGGACCATGCATGACATTCACATTTGAAAGGACCTTTTCCAAAATATTCGTCAATCAAATCGCGGTGTATAGTTGCAGTTACTTCTTCAACATGAACACCTGTGTGAGGATCAACGTGTTTATCATGTGTAGATGGAGGAGGCTGAGAACTACCACTGCACTTAAAGTTTAACTAAAAAATTAATGATTAATTTTGTATTGCATTTTATGCTCTGAATATAAGAATTTATTCGACATTACTTACCTGAAGTGCATGGGCTGCTTTACATTTAAGCACCCCTGGTCTGTTCTTAATAACATATATGTCCTCGGGTTCTGTTAAAAATATTGGCAATGCAGTACCAGACTCAGCGGTATTAATTTTGTCTAATATAGGACCAGATGATCGCTCTTCATATTCAACATTTGATAATTCACCGTTGTTATTTGTAATATTTATTTCTTCATTTACATTAAATTCATTTTTCACATCATTTGTAGATTCAGCCATTTCTTTACGATGTACGGGTTCTGTAACGTGTGATGGATTATCATTGTCATGAAATGAAATATGTGAATCTACTGGAAATTCCGCGTTTTCCTCATCGACTTCGCTGTGAAAAGCTCGTCTTGGTTTAGGGAACACTTGTTGAGGACTATTAAAAGTACTATTTTCTTCAATCCTTGAAAGCTTATTGAAGGTATTTATTGAGGGTAGATTATAATTTCGTTGGTCAGTGATTGAGTCAGTTGTTCTTTGAAGATTTGCCACTGCAATCTTAAAAGTAATTAAGAAAGCAATAAGTATATCACATTTCTTAAGCTTCGTCATTTTTATTTGGTTTTATAGAATTCTCCAGTTTCGAAATGTTTAGACCATAAATTGCTTGTTCGACATCTGAAACATAATATATTCATTTCAATTTTAAATAATAATATATATTTCTAATGTTAATAATATATTTTACAGGAAACAATCCAATTAATAAACATACAAAAGCTAGCATCTTTATATCATACACAAAAATGTTTTTAAATAAGTAGTCAAAAATCGTATATTCAGGTCATACTCGATGCTTTTCAAGATAAGTTATACGCCCAGTGCATAAATTACGTACATACACACATATTTATATACATATGTATGTACTTACATCAGGGGCGGATCCAGGGAATATAATTTGGGCACCCCCAATTTTATAATTGATTTGAGAAGTGTTTAACTTTAAACTACAATTTTATTTTTTATACATATTTCAACATTTAATTTACAGCATAAAATCAATACGGTGTTTGCTCGTTTTACTGAATCTTTCTATTATTTCTTCTGGTTCCACAGTAACGTCCTAGTTTATGTTCAGGACTTCTAAGCCGTTCAATCTTTTCTGGAACATCGTTATTCTGAGAAAAGTCTTGATTCGGCGCAAAGAAAAAAGGATCGTTCAGCACTAGAATTGGTGGCTGACAAAGTGCAGAATACGCGAAGGAGAATATGAATCAATATATTCTTATTGCAAGTGCTGAGGATTTCTAAGGCAAAAAACATTTGTGTTCTCGTAGCCATTTTCTTTTTCCACTGTTGTTGAAAAGGCGCTACTTCTTTGAGCTTCGTTTTTTGCAGTTCTTTATTTCCGCAACATTTTCCCAAAACAACTAACTAGGTATTCAATGATTACAGTTAAATCATTTTTTTCCAAATTTAGGTTACATTTTGATAAAAGCTGACTCAAATTGAAACTTTCAAAACTTTATCGGAAAACGGCGTTTTTAAATCTTGCATGACTGTGTAAATGAGTGGAATGTACATATATAGAAACCCTTTATAAGTCTTCACAGCTTTGTGATGGGTGATTGTTTCGAGGAATCTGACGATTACACGTTCCGGGATTTTTCACTTCAACATCTAATTTTGAGCCCTCTGTGTAGCATTTGAAAAAAATTTATTAAAGTGATGCATTCTTCGCATGTTCAGTGTTGCAAACACTGTTGAAAGGTCGGTTGATTCATTCTGGAGAATCACACTAAGTGGCTGCGTCAGTGACAAAACATTACTGAGACAGAATATTCCAACAATAAACTTGAAGTTGCACAGTACGGTAACCAGATTCGATGCTTTTACTACAGTCGTTTTATTCATCCATTGACTTATTTTTGTAAGTTATTGAACGATTTCGGGAAGGGTGAACGTGAATCGAAGAACGGCATCATGTCTTTGTACCCACTTTATCTCACAAAGTTGCGGATTTTTTTTGGCCAAGAGATGAGCTAAAACAGTGTCACATTGCGGTCTTGAGACTTGGAAAAATGTTGTAAGTTCTCTGAATATTTCAGATATCTTTCAAATCAAAGCAATTTGAACTGTTTTCGATTTATGGGAAAAACATGGTATCATGGTTTGCCTTCGAAAAACTACAGACAAATGTGCCAAAGAAAGAATATACATAGGTAAGTTTGTCCTGTATAAGCATTACTTTATTTTGCATGTCGGTTTGTAGGCAAGAAATAAATTTTAAAAACTTTATTGAAAATAAGATGAATCTGATTTTGATTTTTTATGATATTTGTGGTTCACTGGAAATAAAGTAATCAGATAAAGTAATCGATTTTGTTTAAGAAAAACTTAATTTATTTAGTCTAATATTTTGTTGGGGATATTTTTTGGAAAATCACATCCCTGCAGTGACAAGGCTATTCAGGGTAATTGCAAGCCAATGGATCAGTGCCTTGTGTGGACCCATATACAATTTAGTCTACACTGAATGGAGTGAAGCACGCCCATACCATGACTGGTGTTCGACCATGTTTCACAGTTTATTTTGTATATTACGGCATTAATTCCTGTACCGTGGTTGCCTGACATTGGGTCTACCATCATTACATGTGGCAACACTGGGCTAAACAACAAGTGCTAAATTTTGTGCTGATCATTTATTAGTTTTTTTTTTTTCAAAAATATCTAAATTTAATTACTTAACGATTTGTTAAATTAGGTGAAAGTAATCGAAGTGAACAATAAATACGGTGATTATGCTTCCTAAAAAGTGAACCAGCAAATTTGCTTGCGGGGCTTTTCTTAATGTTATTCGTGAAGGTACCAGCAGCATTCAATGTGCTCAATGGAGCTACTGGCATCACGCTCGGTGTACCGGGCTCAGCAGCGATGAATTTAGGGCTACAGCTAATAAAGTATTGAAAATAAAACAGTTTGGAAGTGCGACAAGTGTCTTTGCGAGGTTAGTGTAAGGATATCAGATGCCCAGCGAGATTCTGAGTTAGTTGAGGATGACAGTGACGTCACTGACGACGAGTCAATCGATAAGTATGAAAATTTACTCATCAAACTGTTAAGCAAAATTGAGTCGAAATTTGATAAATTTAAGCAGTCTATTGAGGGTAAACTCTCAGATATAAGGAGTGAGATAAATAAACTGAACGAGGCTATGTCGAAAAAGTGCTCACATTTAGATAAAAGAGTTGCGGAAATAGAAGACAAACTAAGTTCATTCTCTTCACTTCCTCCAGAGGAGGTTATTACCGAGATCAATCAGCGTAAGAAGCGGGAAGCCAATGTGATCGCATTTAATATTACCGAATCCAAGGCGATAGACGGTAAAGTACGTCTAGAAAAGATAGAGCACGGTTATCATCTGTTATTCCCGAAGAGCTCCATGACAATGTGAAATCGTTCAAGCTACGCAGGCTAGGGCGTCCAACACCCGATAGGTCTAGGTTTGCTGATTGAGACACAGTCTGTCACTCATGCCAGAAGTATATTAAAATCCAAACCTGATCCCGACACACGAGTCTGCTTCAAGTCAGATCTCACTCCGGCTCAGCAGTCACAATTGCAATCACTGAGGGAAAAATTTAAACCATTAAATACGTGAATGGCACGTTTAGAATAGTTAACACAAACTTTCGTCCAGTCGTCGAGGAAATTCAATCTAAAGCAGCTACAAGTATTCTACCAGAGCGAGTTCCTAACCTCATTGGAAAGTAGTTCGCACGACGTAATATTATCACAGATTCCTGGCTTTACTCGTCTATTCAAAATAATGAATTCATCGATAGCTCCTATATCACACTAAGGAAGGACAGGGATACTTCGACAGGAGGCGAGAGAGGAGGTGGTGTCCTGATTGCCTTTAAATGAACAATCTAGAGCAGATCTTCATAAGGATCAAAAGTTATAATGCTTGTATCATCATTGGGTGCGTATATATACCACGACAATCTAATTATGAGATATACTATGCCCATACTGAATCATTAATACATTTGAGAGGAAAATTTCCGGATTCAAGGATCAGGATAGTGGGAGACTACAATTTGCCCAGCAGTACACCGCGCTTTGATTGCGAGAAGCTGCTGATTACGATACCACTGCTGTAGTTGAGTGTCAACAATTCAATTACATCTTAAATAAAAATAATAAGCTTTTGAACTTATGTTTCCGTAATTTAGATCTCTCAAACAACGAAACTCTTGCTTTCACGACTGTGGATAAATATCACCCGCCTCTGGAGATCTCCTTGGATTTTCAGCCTAGCCTAATACCAAATTATCCGCCTTCTTATTCGTTTAAGAAAGCCAACTATGTGAGTCTTAATAATCTTAGATCTAACTGGATTGAGCTCTACGAAATAGAAGAAGTGGATGATAAAGTTAGTTTGTTTTATAATAAAGTACAAGAAGGTATTTCTCAGTTTGTCTATATATATATATATACGAGGAAACCAAGTAAATTTTCCTGCTGGTTCTCTAAAGAACTTATAAATAAAATTAAATTGAAGAAATCTGCTCATATCAGATATAGGAGAAATAAAACTAAGTCATATTATAGATGTTTTAGCCAACTGAGACTCGAATGCAAGAAATGCAGTGCAATATGCTAGAAGTCATACATTAATAAAGTGGAAAATCTAGACAAAAATTAATTCTGGAGGTTTGTCAAGAACAAAAGGGGTACCGACATGGGAATCCCAGCTACCATGACATGGAATGACCTAACCGCTCATTCGGGCACGGAGATTAGTAATATATTCGCATCTTACTTCAAGGACATCTATACAATGAGCCCCAGCGGAGCTGGTCATCATCAATCTGCTGATATTGTATGGAATGTTGATTTAAATGAATTCGATGCTAACTTCAATGAAGTTTTTAAACCAAAAACAGGAGCAGGACCTGATGGTCTGCCTAATATATTTCTACGCAACTGTGCTTCCGGGCTCTGTGAACCTATCACACATTTATTCAGCAAGTCTTTTCATCACGGAACCTTTCCATCGGCGTGGAAATCGTCGTTCATCAGTCCCATCCACAAAAACGGCCCAAGATCTGACGTCCCCAATTATAGACCTGTATGTATCCAATCTGCATTAGCAAAACTGTTTGAGAAAATTGTTTGTTTGAGAAAATTGAAAATTGAGAATTTCTGCCGTTACAACAACAACAAGAAAATTGTCCTGCCTCATTTGATATCATTCTGAAATATCATTTCTCCTACGCAACACGGATTTGTTGGTGGCAAATCCACTATAACGAACTTATATACTTATGTCAACTACATCTCCAAGGCCATGGACAGTGGTATTCTTCTTCTTCTTAATTGGCGTAGACACCGCTTACGCGATTATAGCCGAGTTAACAACAGCGCGCTAGTCATTTCTTCTTTTCGCTACGTGGCGCCAATTGGATATTCCAAGCGTAGCCAGGTCCTTCCAACGGAGCCGAGGTCTTTTTCTTAATCTGCTTCCCCGGTGGATACAGCGTCGAATACTTTTAGAGCTGGAATGTTTTCGTCCATTCGGACAACATGACCTAGCCACTGTCTTTTAATTCGCTGAACTATGTCAATGTCGCCATATATCTCGTACCAGCTCATCGTTCCATCAA